CTCTCTCTCTCGCCAGTCTTTGGGCTGAGCAACTGAGCAGCGCTATGATAAGAGAGACAGAGAGAGAGCGAGGGAAGATAGTAAAGGACGAAAGCATCAGCTCAGCGGAATGAATTACATTCCCATGCTTTCTGTTTCGCAGGAAATTAGCTGCTGTGGCAGTCTGCTGGAACTTAATAATACCACACTGTCTTTACGCACAGTCTTGCTTTATCCCTCCCTCTGTTTGTAGCAGCTCTCACTTTAAATACATCTGTGTGTGTGTGCGTATGCGTGTGTGTGCGTATGCGCGTGTGTGTATGCGTGTGTGTGTGCGTGTGTGTTTTCCAATTAATATGCACAAAAACTGGTAACCAGTCACAAACAGGAAATGGTAGCTCCTGTTCTGTTCCAGAAACATTATGATGAAATAGTGAAGTTGACCTCTGACCTTATACAATGCCATCACTTCATTATTGTATACTATTTAATGTGTAAGATTGTGTGGTAATTAGCATAGTCATTTTTGGGTTATGGCTAAAAATGTGTTTTGTGAGGTCACAGTTGACCTTTGACAATTTCATCAGTTCATCCTGGAGTCCAATGGGATGTTTTTGCTAAACTGACGAGCCAGATGCCCCATGGGGAGGGTTCGTTAAACTACTCAGACAATGGCAAATCTATCGGATGATCTACTGCTTTTGCACAGGCCAGTAAGGAGAAGAGCGTAAGTCTTTTGTGAATAAGGAAATACTCTTGAGTTTGCATATAACAGAAGTTATCGCAGCATCTACACTTTGTGAGCCACCAATGCTGTATATTAAGAACTGTAACCATAGCTGCCAGCAGTTACTCCCACATAGGCCACCGAGTGATAACAAAAACTGGGACAGGCATGCGGTCACAGTGAATTGACCTTTGACAAACAAATTCTGATCTGTAATCCTTGAGTTCACATGAACGTTTGTTCCAAATTTGAAGAAAATACCTTAAGGTGTTCCTGACATATCACACCCTAGAGAATGTGACATTCGTATGGACAGACAACCTTAAAACATAATGGCTGCGGCTGTGATATAGAAAACAATGATTTCCATTACATCTAACTGGAAAACCGTTTGAAAGACATTCAGTTTTAATATTAGGCCAATATTGCATGAGCACTCAGATTCTACTAGTAGCCTTTTTTAACATTGCTGCATAATCATTGTCCTCTTACCATAATGTTGATGCGCCAAATATGAGTCACAGACAAAAGACTGCAATGTACTGCCGATGACAGCAGTAATGACAAAATGGAACAAAATCACTTAACAGCTTGTTATGTAACAGTGACAGGTCTTTGCTTGTGTGTTACTGTGTGTGTGTGTGTGTGTGTGTGTGTGTTGGGGAGTGTGCATGACAGCAGAGAGAAGTGGCAGCAGAGCTAAGACTCAGTTTAGTGTTTGCAGAGAAATGAAGGACTTCAAAGGCTTCAAACAGCTGGGAAAAACATTTGATTTTCTGTCCAAGAGTACGACACATGAAAAAGCAATTCAACTAAAACATTGTCCAGCACTCCACAGTGATTTTCAGCACAATAATAAATGTGATTTGGTGGGGCGATAAGTTTTCAAAGAGAAATGCAACTATATTGAACATAAGGCTGCATTATATTTGGAAAACATGCGATCGGTGTTAACCTTGTTGAATATTGCGATGATGATATGACTGATAAATAAACAAATGCTTAAAGCTTCAGTGTGTAGAATTTAGTGACATCTACAGGTGAACTTTCATGTTGCAGCTGAACACTCGTCACCTCACCCTCCACTTCCCAACATGAAAGCAAACCTGTGGTGAACTTCAGTTGTCATGAAAACTCAAAAGGTTTTAGTTTGTCCAGTTTGCACGACGGTAAAAAACATGGCGACTTCCACAGAGAAGACCCCCCCCCCCATTTAAATATAAGGTTTTTAAATATAAAGGCCCATTCTATGGTAAAGAAAAATAAAATTCATACAATTTAGATGAAACACACCAGTGAAAAAATCACTAGGATTATTTTATTCAATTTCTGCTTAAAATCCCTTTCACCTAAATCTGACACACTGGATCTTTAAGTAAAGTCTTTCTGCTTTGGTTTCAGTGCTAACAGTACAGTGAGTAGCCTATGCAGACACTGAAAAAAAAAAAGGAAAAGCATTATTTCCACAGCCGACCACAGCGCCACCAAGTCTGGGGCAGACACCCAGGGAGCCATGCACAGCTCCACTATGTCTGCTTACTGGGACTATCATTAATACGCCACACAATTCTTTTACATAACAGCTCAAAGAGATGAAATCGACCTGGGACAAATGTGATCACTAGAAGTTTCCACAGTAGAATTTAGTCTGGAGGAGGCAGAGAGAGATTTGACAGAGTCACTTGCAATTCTTTGTTCTCTATTCTCTTCTTGTTCTCTTCTTCCAACAATGATTAATTGATGGAAAAACCCGTAAAGGAACTGAATATCTTTATTCTTTATACCTGATTGCCCAAATATATCGACATGCAGAGCATGAATGCATGGCACACTGAACAGCATTCCCAGTTTAAGCAGTCTTTAAGTACATATATCGCACATGATGATATGGTTATGACAACACATTTTCGATATATCTTGCAGCTCCAGCACAGACACATAATTACAGAAGTACCAGCAATCCAGGAACCATTATGTAAAAGCACGAAAAATAATTTGTGTTGTTAAAAGGAAACACTGATGTAATCTTTGTTTCTTAGAGGATAAAAACTGCTTTTGGTCTTATATTCAAGGATTAAACGTGAAACACAGCTGTGCTTCAGTTACAGGACACAAGCTTTACACATGGAATGCAACAGAAATGTGATTTTGATTCAATGCAAAAGATGACAATATATGTTTTATGGTGACATGGTTTGTATTTTTCAACTGATATCAATCAGTTTTACTATAATATCAACTGTCAAAGTAAGTTTTTTTGTGTCTCTTTAGCCAAAGTCCCACTCTAAGCAACAAGAGCAAGTGAAAACATCTGTGTTGGTGTAAAATGCAAAAGCTGTATCTCTGACTATTAACAGTCTTTATTAACAATCAATAATCTACCAGCTACCATTACTGATATCCCAAGCCTCAGGTAACCTTGACCACTCCAATGTCCAAATCACCTTTCTTTATCAGCCTCTGGACTACAGCACATGCCCCCCACCTTAACTGTGATTGTACCTGTTTGCTGGAGCCATCCTGGTGAAGAGGTGTGTTGCGATATTTGACTGTGATTATCGCTTTCATTTGAAGACAAAGTGCCTGTAGATTCCCAACCTCCTGTTGTCCTCACTGAACACATACACAAGCTCGCACTCCCTCTCCTAGAGTGACAGCGTTAATCTTTCCAGGTGATGCAGGCAGCTCCGACTTATTGCATTAGAGAGAAGGAATGCTTTAACCTCATTTGTTGGGCTGCCACAGACTAGGTGTGACAAATTTGGACTGCTCTGTGTAAGTGAACAACAGTGCTAACAACCTGCTAGACGGATTTACTCAAATGCCTGCTGTACTGTTCGACCTTGAATCTGGCCTATACTGACCCACACAAACTTTCCTCAGTCATTTCCTAATATGGTAAATAAAAGTCATCAGACCTGAGACTAAATTAAATTAGATAGGGACTTTATTGAGAACATTTATTCATTTCAGGAAGAATACATGGAAGTTAAA